TCGAATAGCTTTGAAGCAGGTGCCTGCAACGATTTATTCTTCCCCATACTCAATAAAACGCCAACCACGTAGCTGAAAATAAGGGTGCACTTCGCACTCACACACACACACACACACAAAAAAAAGGAAGAAAAGCGATCGAATGTAGAATCGTCGATTAGCACAAAAGGTTAAAATCGCAGGAGCTTCCTCGCTAAAAGTTGCTATGGTTGTTAGGTGACGGAGGGCTGAAACAACTTCCCTTAGGCCCTAACGCGACGTATACATTTCGCGTAGATTCTCAGATATTTCAACGTTCAAACAAAGCTAAGAGAATGCGAAAATTTCATGTTAAAAGCACTCAAAGTTCTATCGATCCTCGGACACATCCCGGAATCCAAGCACCGGTACGGCGATGCAGAGCTGATGCTGTCTCACAGGCGCTAATATCCAGATGATCCAGAGCGATTTTGCGCAAAAACGGTATAAAGTCTCATTCCTTCATATTTTCACATTATACCTGCGTCAGCGAGCACGAAGAAGCCCGAAGTCGTCGGAAAGCAGCTGCACATCACGGCTACCGCGCACTGAACAAACTCGCATCCGCCAGCTCTGGGCGCTGCCATCTTACCTGTGACGTCACGGCTCTTGCGAGGTCACGTGACGAGTGGTCACATTTGCGTAAAATATGGCGGCAACCGGGGGGGTGCCACTTCCGAACTTCCGGTTTATCACTCTAAGCCCCTCTACCTCGTTGGCCGACACAGAAAGGTCCCGGATGTATGCGGCGGCGCTGCGGCCGTACGGACTGGAGGATTCGACCGGTTCCGAGCGTTCCCAAGGCATTTGGCGAGCAGCTTTGGCTTGCGGTTCGGTCTTTTGGTGGTGTGGCGCCGTGAAGTGGCTCCCGTTCTGAACTGATCTTTACCCCGTGTTTTCTGTCGTTTGTGGCCAGTGAAGTGTCATGCCGAATCATTGTTTAATCGCGCAGCAAATGCAATGCGAGCCGCCCTGGCTGCCCGCTTCATACAGCCTATCCAGAGCATGCTGTAATGGCGCCCTCTCGCGCCGTCGACACGGAGTGCGGAAGCTGTGAGCACTCGCTGAGCTCACACCGCCTCCTCTAGTTCACGGCCACTCAAGCAACCAAGGACGTCATGAAGGAGGTTATTTTTTTTTTTTTTTTGTAATTTTAATTTGCCTATAACTTTTAAAACATAGCGAAATTCGCGAAAAGAAAAGTTTCATTGGGTTATTACGTTCGGTGCGCTCAGGTCAGGCTTGTACAAGATACTCCCTAAAAGTATCTAAGTTACGTTGCTGAGTACTACGAAAAAAAGTAACTGAATAGAGTACTAAATACTCCGATTTGTAAAGTAATTGAGTAAAATACAAAATATTCCAGGAAAGTAACCCGTCACTTTCAAGATGCTCTCAAGTTACAATTTTCTCTGCAATTCATTGTCAAGCACAACCAAGGTAAAAAAAATTGGCGTTTTTGTTTACGTTGTAGGGATGTAGGGACGGTGTTTGACTTTCGAGGAGTTTGCAGGGACTTTCAGAGTGGAAAACTCCAAAGGCTGCTACGCTCGCAACATTCGCGCAAACAACGTCGCTCATTGCTGTCTTTCTTTTTTTTCCCTTTTTTTTTCGGGGGGGGGGGGGGGGGGGGTGCTGAGTGCAGGTGCACCTGAGCCCGAATGAGGACCTGGCCCGGAGCATCGAGTTGCGCTTGCTACGCTCGCTCGAGTTATGGTAATCCAAATGTTTGCCTTAGTGGAAGCGTTCATTGGAGGCGGGACGCTCGGCTCGCGAGGTCACCTATTGTATTGATTATCGTCGTTGTTCAAGCCTAACGTCTTGATTATATCTGACGCGTGTGATGTGCTATTGAGCTCGGCTTGGGGAATACCTGTGCCATCAGATTGCGCCTACCAACCAATTGTGAAGCGGACCGTATTGAGAAAAGTGGGTCTATAGACTTTTCCATCGCTTATCACACTCTAAGAAAAAATGGAGAAAAAAAGTAGCAACGGCGCGTCTTCCTCCCTTCTACTGACGCGCCCCCAAGCGGACACGAGAAAAGGGGAGGAACGAAACGTGTTTCTCCTTCTCCAGGCAGACGGGAGAAAGCTTTCGCCCTCCCGACTCATCTTCTTTCGGTTTCGTTTTTCGAGCAGGTCGCGCACGTTGTTTAATAAATAGCTGTAGAGTTGATTGAGCTTCAGCGGCAGCGAAGGCCGCCTGTAATTCAATCTTCTAGTCTAAACGTGCAGAAAATTTCGGTTGCATTGACGTTTTTATCACTAATCTTATCAAACGAGCAAACGAAGCCGCTAGAAACAGCGAAGTTCCGGAGCAGTGCCAGCAGCGCGGCAGCGCCACGTACACTGGGGGATGGCTGTCTCCGAATTGCGGGACTCGCGCGGCACGGAACTACAGTCGCTGCAGTCACTACAGTAGCGAAACCACGCGGAACTGTGTCGACGTTTTTGACGTTATGGAAAACGCAGGAACTGCGTCCAAGACAGGCAGGATTTGCTGCCGGCTGCCTGGGTGCCTTCTGTGCTGAGTTCGGTTCTGTTTTTCGATGCCGAGTGCAACCGGCGTTCAACGTGGTTCTGTGTTTGTGCGTGTCAGTAACGTAGCTGCAACATCGTGATGGCAGTGTTGTGGAATGTGAACAGAAGACTGGAATTATCGCCGATGTGACCGTGTGTTCGCGTATCAGTGGTGTAACAAGATAAGATCGTACACTGTTGGGCATTGATGCCACTGGTCGGGCCGTGATCGGAGGGAACGGGGCGTCGCAGGTTGACATTCCGCTTTACATTAAAAAGTTTAATACCACTTGAGGGATTACGTGCAATCGATCGACGTGCGGATAGTTATGTTGGAACGCTGGTCTGAACAGTAGAAGCTCCTATCGTACAGTGGCCAATGTGACTGTCGGAATTGTCTCGTCCCCGAGAGCGATTGTGCTATGGGGCAAGGACTGAACATTACGAAATCGTGACGGAAAGTACGTATATTTACAGTATGGAATTTCGGCATTAAAAAATAGTAGGTAAAACCGAAAAAAAAGCTACCCTTTATTTTGCTGTTTCAATATACTACGGTTCCTGGAGAAACTGCCCTCCAAGTGGCGCACTGGGATGAGCGCTAGAAGTTTTCGGGCTCGCCACGGCGTAGCTCCGTACACTTAACACCTGCCGCAAGTCGCGGCTTTGAGTGCATTCAAGTTGATCAAAAAGAGATTTCTCAGCCCTTGAAGCATCACTTCCAGCTGAGTGAATATTCGCTCTACAGAGATTAATTCAAGACGGCAATAGAGTTATCCGAAATGCACAGCGCCATCTACTAGCTGCGAGAAACACTAGGTTGGCCATCTTGTCTAGGTCGATAAACAGCGAAACAGCTGCCGAACACGTTCCTCCTTACTCGAATATTCCGTCGGCTCGGTTTTCTTCCGGCTAGATGCCTTTACATTGCTGTGTCCCGCACTGCAAGCAACGCGGAGGCACCGACAGCGATGGCAGCAACGTATGTCAGAAACGTTCAGTGTGTAAGTGATGTTTGAGTGATCAGAAGGACGAGATAAAGACAGGAGTGATCTTTTCCTTCGAAGAGTGACCAGAAGCGGGTGCAATCTACCGCTAATACCATCTAAACTCGGGGTCAGCCTGCTTATACATCATTCAGATTTCAATGCGAGTTACCCTGCCATTTGTGCTTCGTATGCTTCACAACAACCAGTTCGAGGACGTGCTTGGGACGCGGCACACGAAGCACGGATAGGCGTCATGGTGACCCGCGTTTGGACAGTGCCTGGAGACTGTTTTTTGAATGTTGTGCAAGCAGTCTGGGCAAGAACACAGGCGTTTTCAGTGTGCAGGAGTTGTGTAGCGCGGGGACGGCAACTTTGTAAACCTTAACGCCAGTTTGTTTACTTTCGTCTCTACCGCGACGTATTCGCGAGGAGTGCGTTTACTTGCGACAAATTTGTGACTGGTGTTAGCAACAGGGTTGTGTTGCCTCCTCCACGATTGACGTGGTTATCTGTTAGCTGAACTCAATAGTATTGAACGTGCAAATAAAAAAGATGTGGGTATACACTTCCTTGGCTGCATTCTCCGCAGAGCGGCATATTTGCCTGATGACCCGTTAGGAGTATACAGTCTAAGCTCGTTATAACAGACCTTGATTTTGATCAAGATTTAGGTCTGTTGTAAAAGGAGTATGTTGTATGCAAATATGAAGTTTACTCAATGGTATGTAAAGGAAAACCAACTGAACTTCACAAATCGGTATGTTATATCCAAATGTCTGTTGTAACCACGTCTGTTCTAATGAGCTCAGACTTAGTATTACCAATGTAGTGATGCAGTGACTCGTGCATAGTTTAGGGAGGATCATATCCGTACTCCACTTTCAACTGGAATAGTCGGCGAGAGTAACAGGCGAGTACATGTGCGAATGCTGCGTGTATGTGAATACTGCGAACCAGTCTTATGTTTTTACTTCATTGTGCAACAACTATCAGTGTTTAGAATAGGTATGCACCAGAGCCCTGTATATGTTGTGCTCCCCGTTGTTATGCTAGCAAGTCATTTTGGCATACAAATTGTTGATAATGTACTGACTTTTCTTATATCTTCTGTAGGTTTCATGGTTTCCCGAGGCACGAAGAAGTGTACAGGAAGTGGATTATTGCAAGCAGGAGAGATGAAGGGGTTAATTTTCGCGTGACAGAGTACACTAAAGTTTGTTCACGCCATTTCAAGGAAAGTGATTTCATCCCTGGAGTAGCGAGCGGCAAAAAACTTCTCCGAGACGCAGCAGTGCCATCAGTGTTTTCCTTCTGCAAGCAGTGCAAAGTTCGCAAGCCACCGAAGCAGCGTGCACTGCCACTGCTTAGGAGAACTGCCAAACCACCCGATCAAGTGCTACCAACACAAGAACCAACTGACAATGATGACGGCGTTGCAAACCAGGATGCAGGTACTTCTAGTAGCATTCCCATGGAAGCGACTGAAAGTTCACTGGAACCGACTGGCCGGAACTCCTCATGCGCAGTATTGGAATGTCTTGCAACTTTAGTCAAGGAGCAGGAGAAGGAAATCTCGAATCTTCGCTACGAGTGCAGTTCTCTTAGAGAACAGCTCGATTCGGCAAAGGCCACAGTTTGCAAACTCCAAGCCGAAAAAGAGTCTCTGGCATCTCGGCTTGCCGAAGAAAAAGGAAGGACGTCTGCGTTTGCCATCGAACGTTTCAAGGACTCCGACGAAGACATCATGTTCTACTGTGGGTTGCCAGGATATGAACATTTCGTGGCCTTGCTTCGTTTCCTAGACCCAGGAGACAATGGGTGCAATGTCTTGCGTGCCGAGAGCGACGGTGCGACCCAATCTGGCAGGGGTCGTAAAAGAAAACTAAGCTCCGAGAATGAGCTATTTTTGGTTCTAGTGCGGCTGCGCCTTGGGTTGTTTGAGGCCGACTTAGCTGACAGGTTCTGCGTTGCACAGTCAACTGTTTCAAGAATATGCACTTCATGGATAAATCTTATGTACCTTAAGTTATCCACCCTGGCTCTGTGGGCTCCCAGAGAAGTAATCGATGCAACTATGCCACCTGAGTTCGCTCAGAAATATGCGTCGACAAGAGTGATCTTGGACGCCACCGAGATAAAGTGTGAAGTGCCGTCTTCTCTTTCACTTCAGTCAAGCACATATTCACCATACAAGTCATCAAACATGTTCAAAGGTCTTATTGAGGAATCGCCTAATGGGCTTGTAACCTTTGTTACGGAGCTCTTCACGGGATCTATCTCGGACAGGGAGTGTTCGGTGAGAAGTGGATTCCTTGAGTTGGACTTCGAGCAGACTGATTCTGTGATGGCTGACAAAGGGTTTCGTATTGAGGACTTGTTGCAAAACAAGGGCATTAAGCTACACCTGCCCCCATTTCTGAGAAGCAGCACATTTTCAAAAGACGAAGTGCAAGAAACAAAAGAAATCGCTTCGCTCAGGATACACGTCGAACGCAGGATACAAAGAATCAAAGGATATCACATTTTTGATCGGCCAGTCCCCCTCACTTTGGCACCGGTAGTCAATCAGATTTGGACTGTAACAGCTATCCTGACAAATTTTCAATCGCCTCTAATTCAACACTAAGACAGTATTTATGTTTTGCATGAGCATTCATGCAATAGCACCATAAAGACAATGTAGTACATTATTTGGGCCATCGGGCCATGGCAAGCCACCTACTAACCTTTAATCACTCAAATTATTAGCGCAAGATCAACACCCTTATTAACGCGTTATCTCAGGCTATGGACGCTACTGTCTGCCAGCAAAATATATGGGCTAGATCACCACTTCATGCTCCGTTAAGTTTTTTTTTTTTTACTCGTGAAGCAACACCTGGCCAGCGTTTGTGTTCTTTAATCTTTTTTATAGTTCCTTTGAATTCTGATTTTGCATTTGTAAAGTTGAATGATTACAACTACTCTTTCACCGTAAGAATCATAACGAAAAGAGACTCTTTTCATAGTGCTACCAGTTTTACCTTCATTTTGCTTGTAAGATCAGTATAGATTGCTTCAGACATCTGCATATGGTTGCGCTCATCCCCACTGCACCCACTTGAGACAACACGAGCTACCATTGTAAGGGGATTATAGCCATATCTCGAACGGATGGCTGTATTTTTGAAAAACAAAGAAGCACGATAGAGCGACATTTGTGACATAGTCATGGGTCTCGTTGGATTCGTTCCTTTTTCCAACAATACGGCCATCCATTCCAAAATATTGCTGTGCAAATAATGTTAGGGGGTTTGTAGCATGCAACCTATCGCTCCTGCCTTCTTTTGTGGAATCCGAATTTCGGCTCAGCATCCCTTTAAATGCCGAAAGCACTTCATTTCCACAACCAGATCCGGTAACTCCTACTCTGCACAAGAACCATGCACAAAACTTTTTTTCCTTAAGGGGACAACATGTAGGGCCACCATATTTTAAGCAGCAACATTGCATTTATTATTTTACATTGCCGTCTGCTTGTTTTAAATCTTGTACAACTTGTACGCCCAGCAGTTTCATTAAAACTGCTTGAATAAGGAAACTAAACTCACTGTACCCTATATTTGTACATTTGAAAAAGTAAAAACAATAATTTAAAGGAAACATACTTCCCTCTCTACATGGCATCTTCATGACTTAATGCAGAAGTATTCGTATGGAAGTAGTACAAAAAAACAAAGGTAGCTAAGTAAGACCCTGAAATAGTGCAGAAAATCAAGATGAGAGCGACCCAGCAAACTCCTTGCGACGTCGAAAATGATTGCTAAAGTTTGAGATAGTTCACTGCCCGGTTGGAAAAATAATTGCTAAAATTTGAGACAATTCTTTGCCCTGTCTAAAATACCGTAATTGCTAAAGTTTGAGATAGTTCACGTGCAGGGTCACCTCAACTTTCATCTTTTGCACACTGGAGGACTATCATTGCACACTGGAGGACTAGCAAGTACCTCTCCTGACAAGGTACGGCAACATATACCTGAAATAAAATGAATCCCGATTTGACTTCACACGAAGCCACTCTTCTTTGTCGAACCAAATGCGTTCTATGGGGATCCAATTTTCAGAGCGCACAACGAAGTCCGCCCACTGGCACTCAGTAAGAGCCATTTGCCCTAGCACCTGTGCATAGTACGGGTGGTCTCTGCTGAGAGATGGCTCTTCATTTTCATTGAAGGTTAAGTAGAAGTCGTGTGACTTAACAAAGTCTGGCTCGCTGTCCCTTAGGGAGTACGGGCATTTCACTTCCAGTACCCCATACGTCAACTCTTCCGGGTCATACACAAGCCTGTCAGGGCTGGCACCAAGCAAGGGGCAGCTGGGATTCACAACCAGTCCACCGTGCTGGAGTGAAACATTGTGTCCCCAGCTTTTCATGACACTGCCGTAGCGGTCGCAAGCAGCATCCTCGTTGTTTCGTTCATACTGCACTGCACGAACACGAGACAAGTCTTTTGGCTCGATCAGGTTTTCCAGCCCTTTCTGCGTCCACTCGTCTCTCGCATCCACCTGTCCGAAGCGTGATGCAGTGAGCCGGTTTGAGCGGGCTTCCTGCCAGCACGTGCTTCTTGCTTGCTGCCTTGAGTTCAACTCCAGCTCCCTGGCCTCCTCTGGGGTCACCTGGACTCCCTGCAAGGAACAAAAAAGAACAACAAACATTTTGAGGAGCATGTTCTCTGCCTGTTGCGTGGTGGGGTGGTGTTCGCCACAAAACACCACCACCAGAAATGTGTGACATGGATTTCCACTGCCACTCAAATTTAGTGCGCAATGTAATTGCCGCTCTAGATGACAAATGGCTGCTGTATTGTATAAGAGGCAGAATAACAGAAGGGTTAAGAGGGGGCACCACATTTCCTTGCCAAGATTGGTGTTTCTTCCTTTCCACTCTCCTCTCTACTAATGTGGAGAGAGGGAAAAAGACTTCTGCTATTCTTAGCCAGAAACAGACTGCAATGACGAGCACTTCCACCACACACCATATTTCCCGGCTTCATCAGAAGGATCAAGTTTCTTTCGAGGAGATTTTGGTCAATGTTTAACAAAGTCAAGGCCAACAGGCAGACATAAGAGCAGATGCCGGGTGGGAGATGGCAAAGGTAGTCCCGACAGGCAGAAAGCGAAAGAGCATGAATGAAAAGGAAAGAGATTAGACGCAAGGTGAGAGAGTGCTCGGTTTGACACGACGCACTGCATTTGTTCAGCTGCTTGTCAGCTTCAGTTGTTTTCGGTACAATGCCCTTTGACCACAGTGACCTTGCAAGTGATATCTCTTGTCAGTTTTCCGAGTCTATTTAAGATCTACCTGCAATTTTGGCTCGCCCGGACGACCCATGTCAGTCTTCAAAGCTAAGCAGGAGCACTGACAGAAGAAGAAAGCTGAAACTGAAAGGGAGTGTCAGCAATAGCTCCTGCAAGTGTTGTTCTTGTTTTTAATGTCGTTCATTATGCCATGCTGTTCTATTTATTGCAAAGCAAGCCTATACAGCCACATAGATGTTACAGCTTTTCATATAGTGACACTCATTGAACATTGAAGGCTGCATTGTCACAAAGCTACCCGTAATGAACTGTTAAAAGAATACTTTAGTTAGTGTGGCTGAAGATTGAAAGTAATAATGGAACAATGGTTTGTTTGAGCAACACTTACCGCCAATATACTCCACTCATCTGGACTGAATGCGTCGGAGAAGGTATGTTGTGAAGTGCCGTCAAAGAGAAACGCCCCTGGAACTGGGCCGAGAGTGCCGCTTCCCCTCGATAGACTGGACGAGACCCATGTCTTGAAGCCCGCCGGCAGCTTGGCTTGTTGGTAGGATAGTGGAGAACCAGCAGCAGCACGACCAAGCTTAGTCTCAGCGAAAGTTTCCGTGGCAGCTCGGAGGACGGCAGCAAAGTGGTGACGAAATTAATCCCTGGAGAAGGGGAACAAGAGGGACAAAGGACAAACACAAATCTCCAAACACAGCTAGGTTACTGGTGCGCGACCGAAAAAATCCGCCTGGTCCGGGTATCGAACCCGGGACCTCTCCATTACAGGTGGAGCGCTCTACCAATTGAGCTAACCAGGGGTTAGACATCAGTAGAGCAAACGGGTTTTATCAGCCACCACCAGTCTAACACCAACAAGGGTGAAGCTTGCAATTTAAGGTTATGATTTCGTCATACTTGTCCAGCTCGTTTGCACCGTCGCATTGAATTGCATTTAAAGCAAAGTGGTGGTTTCCAAGGCTGTCAAGACTTGCGCCCAGCTCGTGAAACGACTTGAGCTGCTGCTGGTCCTGCATGGTGCTTCTTGGCGCGTGCGTCGAAGAGCCGAAGCGGCACTGGGACAGGCACACCACCTTCACGAGGGCTCCTCCAGTCAACGTCTTGAACACTCTCAGGACGTATGCCTTCTCGTCGGGGGCGCCTCCACTGCTGGGGGAGCTCTGTGCACGACAGCTCAGGGGGTGCCTCTCTGAAGCCCTTCTTCTTCAATAAAACTATCAGATGTAGGGTGGCAAGGATGTGGCTACATGCGCCGCTTGTCCCAGCAGGGCACGCACAGGATGCACCAGTGATTGCGCCACTGGCAAGCTCAAATGCCACAAGTAATTTGTACGGGAGGCCAGTCTTCTTTTGACTCCGATAACAAGTGGCGCGTGCGTACACAATGCCAAGACTAAAAAGAAAAGAAAAAAATTGCAGACTGCACAGTACAGATTTAGCACTTCAATAATCAATGAACTCCTTAGACATGTCATAATGGTAAAAAAAATGCTATGTGAGCAAATGCTACTATTTCATGCTAAGGGAAAGTCGTCGTCAGTGCCGGCGCAGCTGCGAGCGCGAGTCTTAAAAGCGACTTCCTTGCGCCAGTCCATATGCACACAACGCATGCTGTAGAGCAACGCTCTGGGGTCCATTAATTTGCTCACTCTGAAGAACATTTGCTAAAATAGGGTATAAAGTGACACGTACAAAACTTGAATGTATAAAACAGAGAGGACGAGGACGGGAACAGGACATCTTTCATTTAGCAACAACATAGAATGGCACAACGATAAAACCGCCCCCCAAGGGTCTCAACGTTCTCAAAGAGGGAAAGGAAATACTAGTTATAAAGGAAAGGGAATACACTAAAAGAAAAGTTTGAAAAGCGCATCAGTAATCTAGTTATTTTCGATTACTTAGAATTAACCTTGGTCATTGTCAGTGATAATGCGGAATTATTCTTGTTTGCAGTTCAAAAAGGGAATTGTACTATAAATATAAAAGTTTAAAAAGCTGTAGCGTCACGACGAGGTGTCAATATTCTAGTCATCTCTGGTGTTAAGAATTCGACCTCTGTCTTTGTCAATGATAATGAAGGTGCAGAAATGTTGTTGTTAACAGTCCCCATGGCAAATGACTCGATGATTTCTCTCCCAAATCTGTTATTGTGCCCGCCCAGTATATTAGTATTAGAAAAATGAGGTGTACAGTCATCGCATGTGCGGCTGTGAACGACAATGGGGTGATACGACTCAGTTGAAGCCTTTGATGCTTCCAAGTTATGTTCTCTGAGTCGGTGGTTGACGCATCTCCCAGTCTGTCCAATGTACTGAC